GAGATCGGAAGTTCTTCCTTCCTATGGTCAATCTCTTTCGAGGTTTGATCTGGGTAATAATTAGCTTGTGTATGCTATGCTGATTCATTGTATTGGCATGGCTATACCATTTGGGTAGTAGATAAAAGATCTATTAACATCGAGAGCAACCTGGTCTTCGTCCCCATGCTTTGGCAGTTCCTTCCAACTCGTCACGTCGCCCTTTGTGTCACCATGATTACCTTCACAACCAAGAAGGATAGGCCCTGTTATAAACCATCAATCTCGAGTCTAAAGAGTAATTGGGAAGCTTTGAACGTACATGCTTGACGACGGGCATCGTCCGAGACAAGGCCATCTTTCGAAGTTGCTAATTCCCTGATAGCTTCCAAATCTTTCCATTTGCATGCCTCTAAGATTTTCACCTCCTTCTCACTGGGTTCTCGTGGTTCCTTCAGTCTTTTTGAATATGAGGGGGAGCGGGACGAGGCCCGTGAGGAACCCGGCGAGGACTTCTCTTCCTTGATGGGCTGCCCATTAGACTCCATATTGAGTATGAAAGTTAAGGAGTTGAATTTTCATGGTAGCCTGTTCTGAAATCGGAGAACGATATCCGACGCGCGAAAAAAGTCATCTGTAGTGAGGCTTGTGAGGTATCCCTTCCATTGTTGTCCTGATTGAATGCCTTAGCGTAAAATTAGAGTACTCCGAAGAAGCGACCTTGATGAGTTCCCGTCTTCAGTCAGGGATTCTCTTCCAATCCATGTCAACACAAAATATGATCTATCAATAAACTCGTTTTTTCTTGTTTTTGCTTCCATGACGGCGGAAACACGGTTGAGAAATATATCTCCTTCCTCGGCGATTACTGTACATCTCCTATAAAGAGAGAAATGTCTGTAGTCTTGCATTTTTATGACATCTCGGGCCGAAAGAGCTCAATCAGCCTTGTCGCCCAAGGCTAAATACAAATACAGAAGTCACGATCCGAGGTCACATATCATCACATATCGCATATCGCATATTGAGATGCTGATGCTAATGCTGGTGCTGGCCACAGCATTTCAGAAAACCAAAAGCGGTAATAGATCAATTAATACCTCCCTACCTAGGTAGGCTCATATGCCAATTGCAACTTTTAGGCCATTTCAGCGGGGCGTGATCGGAATATTGGTATTCTGACGCAACTCCAACCGTCAAATATTGTCACCCCTATGGAAGAAAAAGTCCCCCCAAAAATTCTCAAGTGTCAATATCATTCATTGATCATCTTAAATCTTGAGGTCAAACTCAACTCAATAAAGTTATCGATCATTCTATCTTACTTTTTGTTCAATCCCTACCACCAAGTATCTACCTATCTACATACCTACCTACCATTAAAACTGCATACACGAGGTACGCCACGTCTTCCTTATTCGGATGACAATTAACCTGGCAATCATTTCCAATCTGAATTGTCTCCATGGCCTTTTCTTTGCAAACACAAGTGTTGGTTGACGGACAATGGGTTACCAGGACTATTGACACCCATACACTGCTTCAACGCCAGAATCGAATGGATGATACGGCTGTTGAAAATACCATGGAAACGATACGTCCTCCAGTCCGTGGTGTATTAACGCAAACCATTGTTCCAAGCCCGCTAGTACATTGGATCCTCCCCATCAGACTTCGAGGTCAGGAGTATAATGACGTAGCATTTATTGGCGTAAGTAGCATCATTACTGAAAAGGAGCCTGGTGATGAATATCTTTGTTTTGAGTGACGGCTAACAAGTTTAGGATACATTCGTTGAGATTAGACGACTTGGGATTGGCCCCCATCTCTTTGAAGTTATCCGGAAAGACGACTTCGGGTCCAGAATTCGCAATGCAAGCGTCCTTGGATCGCTCGAGGACTATGAAAAGGACCAAGTTCGTATCAAAGAGGAGTCCGAAGATGTTGATATGATCAACTCCTCAGCGGCGGGGGACAGTCCGCCATCTCCCAGTGTATTCCTACCGCCTCAAATTCTGGTTTTACAACTTGAGGAGGACACGTCTGGTGATTGCGTCTTCTTGATGCTACATCAGTCAAATGACGGATCCTGGAAATTCATCTCTAGTAGACGACGGTTATCCAAGGCCATGAATAAGCTTCAACCTGGAACGCATCTGTCTATTGACCCCAGTTCAAGATATATGGCCGTAGGTGGTTCTGAGCAATGCTTTACAATCCAGGCTTTCAATACGAGAACGGAGCTGAATCGCCAATGTGCCAATGGAGAAGAACTGCGATTTATAGAGTCTGAGAAAATCGTCTTTTGTACAGGTGCTATATTGAAACTGGTTTTCCTCCACCCCCCAGCGGGATCTGATGATGATATCATCCTGCTCTTGATAGCCACCACGAATGGCAAACCAAGAATGCGACTATATTCATGGAGAGCTGGAGATCCCTTGTCAACCGTTAGAACCCGAAATCCTAGTAAGAAAGGTCATACATTGCACGATATTCCCCTACTAGTAATACCATTGCGCTTTCAAACAGCATTCATTCTAGTAAATAAGCATTCGATGACGGTGTACAAAGGAATTTTGGAAGGTGCACCTGAATCCATATCAATTGACCACACTCCGAAGCCCCCTCTCAAGCTTTATCAAGGCTCGGATACACCTTTATGGACAGCCTGGGCCAAGCCAACTCGTTTGCCTTATCACATAGCGGAACATGATGATATATATCTCGCTCGAGAGGATGGATGGATCTGCCTATTGGCGATCAGCCTTGAAAACGGTGATCCTGATTTCACTACGTTACTAACCGACGTTGGAGAGATGCAATGCAACATTGGGCAAGCCTTTGCATGTGCAGACTGTACGCTTTCTTCGGATCCTGAACTTCAGGGTGATGATGTACTTGTCTCTGGTGGTGAAGCTAGCATGGGAGGAACCTATTTAGTGAGTAAATCTCGTTGTGCAGTACCAGATTTTGTTTCCTTGGCAGCGTGTACGTGAATTCGCTGCATAAGTTAATAACCCTTCGCCATAATAGATCGCAGCACGAGAACAGCCCAATGTTAAAAAGGACACACAAAATTGGACGCCGGCTATGGATCTTGTGGCGGTGAGTAACAACTCGAAACCTAACTTAGACATCAATACCAGGCCGCAGAGCTTTGTTCCCATACCAGATTCGATATTTGTTTGCAGTGGAAAAGGAGAATCGTCTTCCATAACGGAGTTAAGATATGGGATTGAAGCTATTCTTGGTTTGGATCTTGAGTTTCATTCTACGGTTACAAAAGCATGGATTTTACCTTCGGAGGTATACTCTGGCTTAGTTGGTGGTGATGATTGGATACTGCTTTCACTCGATGATCGATCAGCCGTCTTACAGGTTTCTCTAGACCGTACAAATGCCGAGGAACTTGACCCAAGTCTCACCCAATTAGATTTGACTAGTCGGACTATTGTTACCGACGTCAGTGGAAATCGCGCGATACAAGTAACAGAACAATCCATTATTATTCTTGACTCGGGTCGTTGGTACGCCTTTCTTTCCATATGATGATTTGATAGGGTGCCATTTTATCGATGTGGTAACTGGACTAACGGTATCCGTAGCACCACGATAGATGGTTCGGATATGATGGGATTCCCTCAAGCCTCATCTATTTCATCATCATTCATCAATGATGCTGTTACCTCCAATGGAAAGGTATTATTTACCACCTATCACAAAGAGCAGCGTCTGCTTCGTGCACTTGATGCCGTCTTCGATAATAGCGCATGGCCGCCTACGATCTTGTGTGCCCCTAAAACAATAAGTAGCTGGACAAGAGATGGCGGAGAAGTAACATGTATTGCAAAGTCTGTGGACCCGCAATATCAGCAGGATCTTGTTATTGCTGGGAAAAGAAAGGATGCAGAAATTTTCTTGTTATTCATTACGCGAGAAGAATTTCATTTGCGTGTACCTACCGTTTACGAAGGATGTAGCTATGACCTTCGAGCACTGGGCAGTATCATTGTTATGCCCTCACAAACTCCCTTTAACTTCACAGTGTTGTGTGGAACACTCACTGGTCTAGTTATTTCTTTGGAAATTGTTCAAAGCGGACGGAATTTCTATATTCACCGATCGCGCTGTGATAGATTTGGAGGCAGTGTGGCAACATTGACAAATGGAGATCAAGCTGGAGATTCTAAGTGCTTGTTCGTAAATTGTGACGAAAATATCTTCAAAATATCTCCATATTTTTCGAGCACTCGCGGAAGAGCTCCGAGAAAAAAGACAACGAGAATGAATATGAAAGCAGATCAAATTTGGCTGGTAGATGAACTGAATACTACCCTACAACAGCCAAACATCAACTCCATATTGCCCCTCACGTCTGAATCATCAGCTGATACCGATCTCCTCCTGATATCACACAATCGACTTCTCTTTGCAAGAATGGGGATGAAACGGAAAACAGTTCCTCGCCGCATCCCCATTAGAGGAACTCCATATCGAATCATTCATTCAGATTCTCGCAATGCTTTTGTTGTGGGTGCTTGTATAGATGGCAGAAGCACACTCTACTTTGTAGATCCCAAGAGTGGCGAGAATTTGTCTGATCCAAGAGATGGAAAGCGTGGCGCGCAAGTAAACTTTGTTGCTGGATTGGGTCGCTTTGATGACAAGATTCTTTGCATTTATGAGTGGTTATACTCTCATGATCCTTACACTTGGAACTTTCTCGTCGTTTGTACCAGTGGAGGCAGGGTCTTGGTTATTTCCACTAACAGTGATGATTCCTCCGTTGCATCATCTGGTAGAAGCAAGATATGCTTTTGGACAGTGACTCAGTTTAAACACTTCACTTCTGTTTATTCAGTTGTTGGAGACTCAGAAGGATTGTACTACTGTGCCCGAAAAGACAATGAAGTTAAATTATACTACAGTATGCTGAACAAGGAAGATAAGAAGTTTGAGCAATTCCCGGCAGAAGCCAAGCTCCTATCGCCAGCAATCTCACTATCTTACGATTCTGGAAAGATATATGCTCTCACCAGACATCATTCCCTCCAGATCCTGGAGGTGATCAAAACTAATGGATCAGTCCATCTTCGTCATACACATACTGATCAGTTTCAACATGAATCTCTGCACCATTTAATAGGTAGACCAAATATATTCGGAGGACTCGATAAAAGTCGCATTAATCTGGTGTCGGACAGGTCGAAGTCTGTCGTTGGTTTGTGTGCTAGTTCAGGCATGAAAGTTGATACACTAGACACCATATTCGAAGCACAACTACCAGCTTCTGTAATCCGATTTCGATCTGCGAATTGTCGCCCAGTCTGGGATTCAAGCTGGAAGGTTCACAAAGCCGAGGATGTTGTTGTGGACCCCACCGGTCTTCGCAGTCTTGGTGCTATTCACAATGACGAGATGGACTCAGAGACTCTAGGGTTGGGGATTGATGGGTCCCTATACCATTTCACCATACTAGATATTCGAGCATGGCAATTCCTCAAGTTTGTAGCCAATCTTGCAAGGAGTTCGGGTCTAGTTGGTGGACGCCCGTGGGAGGGATTAACCGAATTAGAACCGAAACAGGAATCTAAACATATGCAAGTTGATGGCGATATTCTAAGGAGACTTATAGAGAACGAAAAACTTGAGGACTTGTTCAGAATCGGCCAGGATCAAACGGACGAAAATAAGAGGGAATTCAAAACTTTTTGTATGCTCCTCGAGATGATGCATGAAGGAAAACTGGAGACTAGTGATGACCCATTTGTTTATATAGAGCAGGCTTATGATGACTTGGAGGCATTTTTGAGGCCAGTCATGTGATAGCTGGATAGCTGGATCTTTTGGTGGACAGTGGGACTTGTGAACTGGATTGGTTTGAATTAAAAGCATTGGAAGGAAGGTATTGAAGCATATCAGGCTTACATGGTGGAAGGAATAGGTCATGATTATGAATAACATAAATCAATGAGTGTTACATGTCAGCTGATTCAGAAAACGCAAGAGAAAAGTATCCCTCGTCGTAATACTGTCGGCCTTTTGTAATGAAGTAATGGTAGCAGGAATGATTAACCGTAGGTAGGGGTAATAAGAAGGTTCAGGGGTTCACTTTGAGATCAACTTATTATCCTACGACTCCTAAACTCACAATTATATCAAAATCCATACGCGGAGACTGTAATGCTAAGAATCCGAGAAACATTGTCCCGAAGAGCACAAAGAGCAAAGTCATGAGGGAAGTAAAGATTATAAAATGAAGTGAAAGAAACCCGAGAAGGGGGGAAACTCGTTTAGATCCCTGCCTAGTGTGAATTTGGACGCAAAAAATCGATCAAACCACCGACGCACATTCAGGATTGAAAATGCCCCGCGCAGACCTCAAAATCTTCAATCCCGCCCAAGACAACATTCACGCCAAAGTGAATCTCGAAAGCTGTTCAATTGTAATCGATTTTGGCACTCTTTCACTAGATTGTCAAACTAACATCTTAACGGAACCACATTTTACGAGGGCTAGTTTCGACTAATTCGGATTGTTCCATTAAATTCTCTACGTAAACAAACTTGGGTTTGCCACGTTTGCAGGTCGAATCTCTACCACATTACTACTTTTTTCGTTCTGAAAATTCACGACAAGTCGCAACAACTATCCGGGTTTTCAAAAATGGCGCCAAAGAAGAAGAACAACAAGAAGCAGAATGATGACTGGGAGGCGGAGTTGGGAGAGACCGTTGAGCCTGTCACCGCAAAGGAGCCTGATGCTGAAACCGCCGAGGCCGACCCTGAGGAGGAATTTCCAGCAGGAGGACTCATGGCTATGATGCGCAAGAAGCAAAAGAAAGGCAAGAAGGGAAAGCAGCTGGAAGATTTCGTTGAGGGGGAGGACCCCCCAGCCGCGGATGAACAACCTCAAGACGATTTCGCAGACAAAGCTCCCGTTGAAGCTTCGATAGACGATGAATTTGTTCTGCCAGAAAAAAAAGGAAAGGGAAAGAATGCGCAGGCTAAGGCTGCAAAGAACGACGAGGCAGGAGATGACGATTTAGGTGCTGATGGGAAAATGCTTACCAAAGCGCAAAAGGAAAAGTTGAGGAAAGAGAGAGAAAAGCAGAGGAAGAAGGAACAGGTACGTGAACATCAGGCCTTGAGGTTCTTTGAGACAATAGCTGATCTTATCATTTACAGGCGGCTTTGAAAAAGAAGACCGCTCCGGCTGGAAAGGCTGCTGAGGTTGAGAAGCCAGTGGAGGAAGTGAAATCAGTAGAGACTGCACCCGCTCCTGCTGCAGGTGGTAAAGGCAAAAAGCTACCAGCTGCCCTTGCGAAGCTACAGAAACAACAAGAGGAACTCAAAAAGCGGGAAGCAGAAAGAGCTGCTGCGATTGCAGCTGAGAAGGCTCGAATCGAAGAAGAGGAGCGTCGAGAAGCTGAAGAGGAAAAGAAGCGCGAAGAGGCCAGAGCTTTGAGAAAGCAAAAGGAGAAGGAGAAGATTGAACAACAGAAGAGAGAGGGTACCTATCTCACTAAGGCCCAAAGGGAGGAGAAATTACGAAACGAAATGAAGCTAAAGCAAATGATTGACGCTGGTGTAAAGGTGGGAGGTGGAGAAGGAGGAGAAAAGAAGAAGGTCGTCTACGGAAACAAAAAGAAGGGTGGGAAGAAGAATCCTGCCGAAATCAAGGCTGATGAAGAGAGGGCTCTTGCTGAAGCCGCTGAACGTGCGAAGAAGGAGGCCGAGCGAATTGCGGCGGAAGCTGCAGCTAAAGCAGAAAGGGAGGCTGCTGAAGAAGCCGCCAAGAAAGAAAAAGAGGATAGTGAATTAGAAGACTGGGAGGCGGCTGCAGACGAGGAGGATGTTAAGGAAAGCTGGGATGCGGACTCTGACGAGGAGGGAGAGAAGAAAGCTGTCACTTCTTTACCGACCAGAGCGAAGGAGGCAGAAGACTCCGAATCTGAATCTGATTCGGAAGATGATGATTCTTCTGAAGACGAAGAAGCCACAGCAAGAGAACTGGCCGAGCAGAAACGAAAGGCAGAGGCCGCTGACAGACGTAAAAAAGCACATGAAGCCGCATTGGCAGCTAGGTCGAAGGATAACCTGCGCTCTCCCATTTGCTGTATCCTTGGACACGTCGATACTGGTAAAACTAAGCTTTTGGACAAGATTCGACAAACCAACGTGCAGGAAGGAGAAGCTGGAGGTATTACACAACAAATTGGTGCGACTTACTTCCCTGTTGAGGCTATCAGGAAGAAGATTGCAGTAGTAAACAGAGATGATAGCTTTGATCTCAAAGTTCCCGGTCTCTTGGTCATCGATACCCCTGGTCACGAGTCTTTCTCTAATTTACGTTCCCGTGGATCGTCACTTTGTAACATCGCCATTCTTGTTGTCGATATTATGCACGGCCTTGAGCCCCAGACTTTGGAGTCGATGAAACTCCTTCGAGATAGAAAGACTCCTTTCATTGTTGCTCTCAACAAGATCGATCGTCTATATGGCTGGAAAAAGGTTGATAACAATGGATTCCAAGAAAGTTTGGCACTTCAAAATAAGGGTGTCCAGAACGAATTCGCGAAGCGTCTGGCCGATACTAAGCTTGCTTTCGCCGAACAGTCATTCAACGCCGAAGTCTTTTACGAGAACAAATCTATGGCTAGAAATGTTTCCTTGGTTCCAACATCAGCTCACACTGGTGAAGGTATTCCAGATATGTTGAAGTTGATTCTCCAACTCACCCAAGAGCGTATGGTTGGTTCATTGATGTACCTTTCCGAAGTTCAATGTACAGTCCTCGAAGTCAAGGCCATCGAAGGGTTTGGTATGACTATTGATGTCATTCTATCCAACGGTATCCTTCGAGAAGGTGATCGCATCGTGTTATGTGGTGTAGATGGGGCTATTACTACAAATATCCGAGCGCTTTTGACACCAGCCGAGATGAAAGAACTTCGTCTGAAATCCCAATATGTGCACAACAAGGAGGTCAAGGCCGCGCTCGGTGTCAAGATTTCTGCACCAGGTCTCGAAGGTGCTATTGCAGGTTCAAGATTGATGGTCGTTGGTCCTGATGATGATGAGTCGGATATTGAGGCTGAGGTTGAGTCTGATCTTGGGTGCACTCTTTAGCCGAGTTGAGAAGTCTGGTCGTGGTGTCACTGTTTCAAGCATCAACTCTTGGGATCTTTGGAAGCTCTTTCTAGATTTCTTGGAAAGTATCTCAAGATTCCTGGTCGCCAACGTTGGTATCGGTCTCAGTCTTCAAGAGAGATGTCAT